TGCCCCCACACCATCCGCAACCCCACCCCCATTTCTCACTGAAGAAAGCCCCTCGAAGGAGCTGTAAAGTGATGTATTTAAACTCGAAACCCACTGTAATTTGTTAAAAGTATATATTTACTTATAACTTTAGTAGTTGTGTATTATAGGTGATTATCATCACAAACACAGTTACTGGTTTCAGATAACAGTCACTTTATTTTTTATTTTTTTTTGGTGGTACGCGGGCCTCTCACTGTTGTGGCCTCTCCCGTTGCGGAGCACAGGCTCCGGACGTGCAGGCTCAGCGGCCATGGCTCATGGGCCCAGCCACTCCGCGGCATGTGGGATCTTCCCGGACCAGGGCACGAACCCGTGTCCCCTGCATCATCGGCAGGTGGACTCTCAACCACTGCGCCACCAGGGAAGCCCAACAGTCACTTTAGATGTGAATATTAAGAGCTCTTCTTTGTCCTGGCAGGTTCTAAATCATTTTACATCCACATATGCCAGAAATCTTCACAGGAAAACTAACATGAAACTGTAGCCAATAATGAAAACACCACTTGTATCCCATAAATCTAGATTAAGAGTGAAGGTGAAGACAGAGGCCCCCTTTAGGAAAAAGAACCAGAGATGAAGCTTACACAGCATGGGTGCTTCTGGACAGATGGCGTCCCTCACCCCACTGCCATCAACTCATACTCGAAAAGCTTCCTTCTTTCTTCTTACAAATATTAATTTTCCCCAAAAATCAGAGGCAAAGGGGAGGAGGCAGATGTATGGAGAGAAAGACAGGTCCATAAACTGCCTGTCACATCCTTGTATGTCCTATGAGACACTTTTTGGGACGTGGGACAGAGTCATGCAGTTTGGGGTATCCACATTAACAAAGTAACTCTAGATCTTTGTAACAATAAAGATTTATGATTTAAGATTTCAGGGAAATTTATTTCTCTGAGATTTCTGGTCTAAGCTAAGGTTCTAGTATAGCACTGTCCAATGAAATGTAATGTGAGCCACATATATAACTTTAAAAATGTCTAACAGCCACGTTTTAAAAAAAGATGAATTTTGACAAGATGTTTTATTTAACTCAACATTTAAAAATATTGTTATTTGAACATATAATCAACATTTTTTAAATTACTGAGATATTTTACACTTTTTCTCCCTATATTTGTACATCTTATACTTTAAGCAGAACTTGATTCAGACTGGCTACATCTCAACACTCAACAGAACACGTGGCTCCAGCATTAGACAGCGGGGTTCCAGAAGGAGAAAATATCTACATGAAATAAACAAGCCCATATGCATAAATACGCAGTCCTGGAAGAATACACACAGGCCTCAATGGTTACATATTTGGGGGGTGAGTTAGCGAGGACTTCTACTTTGTAAATGATATACTTTCACATTCTCTGAATTCTTTTATACTCAATATGTACTAATCAGTTATCTAAAATTTTAAAAATTTCACAGCACCATATAAATTATTAGAGCCTTGCTAAGATCATTTCTGTGGAAACTGAGCCCTCTGAAAGGGTAACAGGCTTTCTGACCCTGAGCACTTTAAAAATAGAGACATTTCCAACATCCCATCTGGACGGAGGCAGAGGACGCCTGGGTCTGTCTGAATGAGGGATAAGGGTGCTGAGTCAGAGATCTGATGGCCACACCGCACCAGATAAACTGGGGTAGAAAAAGTTCTCCCGAGCCACAAACTGCACTGTCACAACAATAGGGACCACACAAAAGCCCGTCCATAAAACTCATCTCTGTGGGGAAAACAATCTGCACAGGAAGCACATATATATTCTAAAACTAAAGGAATGAAACTTGAAAAAAATTAAGGTGGAGCAAGGGATAGTATCCAAAGGACAGCACACGTTCCATAGAGTTACTCAGTCTGTTAAGAACAGCCAGGAAATTAGCAAGGAAGCAACAGAAGTGTGTGGGGAAAACCTCTGCATGTAAACTGGCAGACACAAGCCGAGATTAAAGAGAGACCTGTTCCTAATCCTGAACATCTGAGGTAACGTCGGAAGAGGGTCTCGTGCCTCATGGGCTTAATCTTCACATACCAAGCACTTTACAGACTGACATTTCTCTTCATGAAAAATTATTCTTTAGAGGGCTTACCTGGTGGCGCAGTGGTTAAAAATCCACCTGCCAATGCAGGGGACACGGGTTCAAGCCCTGGTCCGGGAAGATCCCACATGCCACGGAGCAACTAAGCACATGAGCCACAACTACTGAACCTGCGTGCCACAACTACTGAAGCCCGCGTGCCTAGAGCCCGTGTTCTGCAACAGAGAAGCCACCGCAATGAAAAGCCCAAAGAAGAGTAGCCCCGGCTTGCCGCAACTAGAGAAAGCCCAGGCGCAGCAACGAAGACCCAACGCAGCCAAAAATAAATAAATAAATAATCTAATTAATTAAAAATTATTCTATAATGCTAAAGATTTGGGGGGGAACCTTTTAAATAAAACTTAAAATTTTTATTGATAGATTGTCTTGAATAGTTAAAATAACACCAATGATCAGAACAAAAAAGTCAGCTGATAAATAAAATTTCTTAAGAATATTTAAATGTCTGTGTAATCCATACAACACTTAACTACTTATATCTCATTCCATCTTGACAGATGGTGTGATCTCAGTTATAAAGGAGGGCTTATTCAGAATATTCCTGCTTTGGCTAGTAATCACAGAAGCTGAAGAGGAAGCAAATGGTTCATGTAAAATTAAAGAATTCCACCTGCTTATGTCCAATTCCATATGATCAGCTCAGACAAGAAACGGGTGTCTGTTGTTACTTCTATTTCTATTTCACATGTTACGTTAGTACATAAACACAGATTTCTGATAATCAGTCTTTGAACTTAGCTTTTACAAATGTGGAATAAAAATACCTTCATGAGAATACAGCCACCAACCAGAGAAAAATAACATTCTCCTGAAATTTCATTATGTTTGCTGCAAGTACTCAAGTTGCTTGCTCATTGTTATAAAAGATGAAATACCTATGATATAAACTAAGTGTTCTTGTATAACTCCAGATCAGGTTTTTAATAGGGCAAAAGTAGCTAAATTTTCTGGTTATTTTAATGATGAAATGCTTAAACCCTCCTTTACAAGAAACCTTACTTTCTTTAATGAAATTGTGTCCCCACTCGGGCTTCTGAGTAACAGGCAGGATTTAACATGAGGCTGAGGTACAGAGGGGGAGGGGGGCATACATTTTACAATCTTAGGGGCCAGCTGGATTCACCACATTAATGTAAACATCCTTTTTTGGAAGGAAGGGAGAAGACACATGCATAAACGGAGTGCAGCTATGTGATGCAAATCGTATTTGATACACAGTTTACCTGAATACTTGAATCTCCCTTTATAAACTTTGCTCCTTCTATTATAGTCATGTATGAAAATCTGAGTTGATCTGGTGTCTGAATCAGCCCCATTCGGTATTTTCTCATATTCAGTAACAGTTGTTTAATATTAATATTGTCTCCTTTTTCCATCTGCAAGAAAGGTAAACATTATTCAAGCCTTTTGTTGTTAGGAGTCCAGGAAAGAGAAGCAGTACAGGAAAACCGCTAAGAGCAAGTCAGCACAGGTTGCCCGTCTGCCCCGTCCAGGCAGCAGAGGGAGGACTCCTGGCCCTTCAGCTAACTCACAGCTGGCTCCAACCAACAGGAATCTCATTCACTCTGGCTAGTGGTTGGTCGAAGGGAGGATTTATGGCCCATTCTGGCTTAATGTAAGGATAAATATATCGAGATTAGTGCCTTTCTTTTTTAAGAACGTCTTGGCAGGAGTAAATCTTTTCGTTTGGCGCCTTCACGTCTGTGTGTGGCAGCCACCTGAGGGTGCTGGAGCAGAAAGGCGGAAACAGCCAGACCCACAAGGACACCGTGGGGCCGCTGCACCAGCTGGGGCTGGACCACGCACCCCCACCCCAACCAGAAAAGAGAACAGCTGTTGAAGTTAAATTTGGCAGGGAACAGGCAAACACACGATCCAGTTTTAGTATTTACCATTAACAGAACAGATGCTTAGAGTTCTTAAACACATCAAAGTTAACATAACAAGCCGCTTTTGACTGAAGTATAGGATATTAGGCAGAGTGGTAACACAGCAGACGTGTTAAGATACCCTCCCATCAACCTAAAGGGAGGAAAGGCACAGGCCGGACCCCGGCTGGGGCTGGGAAGGCTGGTGGAGAAAGAACACAGCCCTCAGGCACAACAGGAACCTCAGAGAATGATATTAAAACCCACACTCACCGAGGGCTTAGAAAGTGTTCTAAATGCACTCATCCACTTAATTCTTATGAGAGTCCTGGAAGGAGAATACTCTCACTCGCTGCAGTTTGTAAATAAGGAAACTAAGGCAAGAAAGAATTCAATATTATCCACCAACTGATGTTTGAAAAATAAGAAGGGTGAGGGAGAGGACCCATCATTTAGGTAACAAAAGCTACCAGGAAAAGTCTCCTTCGAGAGCTCTAGAATTATCTTGGATGCAGCCCCACCAGTCACAGTAAGAGGCAGCTGAAAGGATGTGAATGAGAGTTTTTGGTTTTTCTAAAAGAAGGCAGAAGTTCAAGTTTGAAAAACACAGTTCTGGGATCCTAACAGTCGAGCTTACTTCTGCCAGTGGAAACAATAAAAAGGTACAGAAGACTGAAATGAGGTCACTTACCAGAACAAGACAAGTGTCCACCAGAGAAAAGGTGCCTGACCGCCCGATGCCGGCACTACAGTGGATCACCGCAGGCCCGTGTTCAGGATTCAAGGAGCCAGATTCTCGCACTTTAAATAAGAAATTGAGAAATGAAGCTGGTGATTCAGGGACTCCGAAATCTGGCCAGGTAGTATAATGAAAGTGAGATATTGTTCTGGTTTCACCACTCTAAAAAGTGAAAATCAAGGGGGGAAATGTTAGTTCTGAGTTTTTTCTTTTAAAAGTCTACTGCAGAAAGATGTGTTTTGTGTAATGTACCACGATTTTTCATTTGGTTTTTGATAATCACATACACAAGTATGGGAAGATTTTCTTTAGGAGAATTTGGAATATATTAATAATAACTAACACTTCTGTAACACATTGTTTTGTAAGCATGTTCTAGGCTTTTTATGTATTAACTCAAACCATACAACAATCCTATTAAAACCTATTTTCCAGATGAGAAAACTGAGGCGAAGGGTTAAGTAATGCACCCAAGGTCACACATCAGAAAATGGCAGAGGCAGGATTAGAGCAGCACTTGGGTTCCCAACCACTGACCTGCACCATTCATGCTGCCAGGATTTTCTTTAATTCATACATCATGATGAGTGGATTCTATTCTATTTTTTTAAATCTCTACCAGTTTAATTTTACATTCTTTAATGGTTTCTTTTTTAAGAATTTCAAAGTTTTAAAAAATATAATGTTCCCCATTATATGAGTTATCTTTTAGATTCTGCTATACAGGCACAGAGGAACAACTCAATAATTAATTTAAAAAAACAATCTTTACATTTTTAACTGAAATTGCTCTCCTAATTGCTGCTTTTCCCCATGGTAACAATTTCCAATCCTAGAACTGTTGACATGCCTTTGCTGATGTGCTAACATGATTTACCAACATACTAAGTGTTTCCTGTCTCTTAAAGCCTGCCTGGCACTCACCACCACTTCCTGGATATTCTCAACGACCTTTATTTCTGACTAACTCATTATGAAAACGTTCCTTGGCTTTTGCCAAAGGCCCTCTGCCCCCAGGAGCACTTCTCTGCCTTCTGCTCTTCATTCACAGAGGGAGCGGCAACTGCTAACACATCTTTGCACAATGTTTCAGCTTTAATTACAGGACTATTTTGGAAGAAGGAGCCAGGGAACCAGCATAAAAAACCCTGATTTTTTTAATGGTTACTTTTACAGCATCTACCTTTCAATACAAATTTACAAAATTCTTGGCTTTCTTTTTTTAAAAAATAATATTTCCCTTTTTTCAGTACAGATTAAGACTCTTAAGTCCCAGACTCAGTTATATGAGGTACAGCACTGATAAAATACAGTGCAGAAGTTGAAAAAAAATTTTAATTATATGCATTTAGTGCCTAATTTTTCTTGACATCCAGCTTTCATAATTCCAAGTACACTGTGATCCACAGGTTCTCAGTACACTGAAGGTACTAGAAAATTTCCTATTACTAATTAAAATGCTCATTGTGATTATTAAAATTCAAAACATTTCCTTTTAAATTCCAAATTAATTATGCTAAGTAAAAGCAACAGATTCTAAAGGCTGTACACTGTACGATTCCATTTACATGACAGCATGGAAAAGACAAAATTATAGGAATTGAAACCAGCCCAGTGGTAGCCAGGAGCTGGGAGTGGGGCCGGGCTGACTGTACACAGGTAGCATGAGGAATGTGCGCATGCGCGTGCGTGCGTGTGTGTATCTAGGGGATGGTGACAGAACTGTTATCTTGACTGGGCAGGTGGTGACACAAATGCACTGTCAAAACTCAGACCTATACATCAAAAAGATTGTATCTTACTGTATGTAAAAACAGTGTTTAAAACATTCCAAATTAAGGAGGCTAAACTGTAGCTTCCTTCTAGAAAACCGTAAATGGCAGCCATCTGATGCCCACACAGGACTGGGGTCCTAAGTCCTTTCCTCCATCAGCCCAGGCACACGGTTAACTCAACCGCATCTTCCTTTAAATGGGGCCTCAGATTCCAGTGGGTGTCTTTAACCCTCGCCCCCAACAGCAGCCCTGCTGCAGTCCTCAGCCACCACACTGTGCTGACCATGCACAGAGGCCCAGCCCTGGTCCACATGGGCCTCAGCCAGGTCCAGGTGGACCTGCTGGAGGTCCCAGGCCTAGGAGGGGTGGTGCCAGGGCCCTGCTCCCAGGGAAGTGTTCCCTAGGGTGTGGCCTATACAGTGTAGGTTCAACTATGCATCACCTCCTGGCCCAAAACCTACAGTTACCCCACAATCCTGGGCAACTACTTGCTTTTTCTTTGCTTATATGATTTTGGCTCAAGACTAGTGGCCTCTTTATTTCTTTCAAATTCAGGTCACACTGTCTGGGATGCTCAAAGCCAGTTTCCAGAAATGCTTACCACTGTATAATACAGTCTTTCTCACGAATAGATTTTTGAAAATCCATCTTTTTCTTCCGTGTAGGACCAGACTAAAGAACTTCTTAGAGGTTAATTTTGTATTAATTCACTCCTACTGAAACAAGATTCAAAAAACTTAGCTCACAAAAATCACATAATTCCCAAAGGGCCACAGAAGTAATAAGATCCATATGTTTACTACTCTGGTATAAAAAAAAGTTTATATGAGGCTTCCCTGGTGGCGCAGTGGTTGAGAGTCTACCTGCCGATGCAGGGGACACGGGTTCGTGCCCCGGTCCGGGAAGATCCCACATGCCGTGGAGCACCTAGGCCCATGAGCCATGGCCGCTGAGCCTGCGCGTCCGGAGCCTGTGCTCCGCAGCAGGAGAGGCTGCAACAGTGAGAGGCCCGCGTACCGCAAAAAAAAAAAAGTTTATATGAACGATTGGATACCTTTTCCCTCTTTTTCATGCTGGAAAAAAAACGAGAATGGGGGGAAAGGGTTGCAAAGCATACAGAGCTAAAACAAAATTCATCTTTATTCCGAACAGTCTCTACATTTAGACTCTACAGTTTCTGACAAACTCCTAGTTTCAAACAGCAGACTCACCCTTCCCTCCTGCTTGGTCACCAAGCCCCTCAGTCCTGCTGTGACACCCAGTCAGCTCCATCCCTTCTCACCGCCACCCATCACACCCCACTCCAGCCAGTCTGCACACACCTGCCCAGTTTTCTCCATAAGGCACTACATCATGGACACCACCCTCTGCACAAAGATGTCAGCAGTTCACCGTTCTTCTTAGGGCAAAATCTCATCTACATTTATATGAAGAATTTTAAATGTAACGTCTTTTAATCAGATGACAAGCTCATGGTCCATGGAGGCCAGGAAGCTAAACTATGAGCTGAGTAAGGTATAAGAGCTGAGAGCCTGGGGGTAATTTAAGTGTGCACTGTCTAGAGCCATTCAAATGCAAGTTAACTATAATTGTTATCAATATGAGTAAGACTACAAATGTTCTAATTATTACTTAAAAATCTATACAGCTCTACAGCCCCAGGCCCAATTTTCACACTTTAGGCACAGAAAGAAGGTAGCAAGATTGTTCCCAAGAATTTCATAAGCCCCGGTTCCGTCACCTGTAAATGGGGTTTAAGAAAGTACTGATCTCACAAGGCTGCTGTGAAGGGTAAACAAAGCAACACCTGCACGTGGTGGCATGTGAAGAGATGCGGTGATCTCTGACACAATGACACACTCGCTGCTGCCTTTACCGCGGCCCCTGATACGCTCCCATCAACTGTAACCTCTCCACATTTCCAACCTCCTCACCTGTGTTTCCGCTCCACCTGAAGAGAAGCAAGCTTGTCGACCCCGCCTCCCTCGAGGTCACTGCCCTAGTTCAGTCCCTCACCAGCTCCTGCAGGATCCCACACTGGCCGTGTTAAATACGTGGTCACCATAACTCACTCTGGAAGATGACCGGAACTCCCAGGTGGGGAGGGGATGAGAGCACCAGGGCAGGGGGCAAGGGGCCGGGTTCTAAGCAGGGGGCAGGGCAACACCCGAGGCATGGTTGGGAGAGGCAAGGCGGGGGCCGGCCGGGGACTCCTGTACCGGCCACGGAAGGGCTTCCCAAACCCCGGTGGAAGGACCAAGCTGTGTTTCAGGACAAGCACTCAGGTGTGGGGTGGTGAACAGGGTACTCGGTGCAAACGCAGAGGGGGCACAAGGGCAACAGGTAAGGACCCTGCCCATGGGGAGCTGAAAACCTTGTTATGGTGTCAAAATGTACACATGCGCAAGTGCTGCACAAGCTGGGAAATGGTAAAATTTAAATTATGAAGAGAAGCATAAGAAGATCCTAGCTGTTAGGAGTGAATGCATCACAGGTACATTAAGTGACCGAAGTGAGAAATGGGGACAAGCTGGACAGAAGAGTGCACAGGACATAAACAGACAGGAGAGAAGGACGCCCGGGTGGCATCTAACGCTGCTCTGGGCAAAGCTACAGAGGCAGAGAAACAGAACTCAGCATGAAAACAGCCTTCCTGGAACTTGATACACATAAAGCTGGCCGAGGACACTACTGAAAATGGTGAAGGCCAACTAAACAGAAAAGCCCAAAAGACAAGTTCTCCAGATGACCTGGGATTTTAAAAGCCCCTCAAAACTATCTTCATAGCTTAAGCCACAAGGCCCCTTTTAAAAGCAGACATGGAATCTCTTCACGTGGGGGCAGAAGTTCAAACTCTGAGCTCTCATCACGACACTGGAAAGGGCTGCTGGTGCTTTACTGCCCACCAGACATGAAGTCTCTATGGAGCAGGGCCTGACAGGAGGCAGCTCTGGCCCCAGATCTGTTAAGAGGCACAGCCAGACTCCTTTAGAAGCAACCTGGTCCTCTGAACCTCAGGAACCTCCACCCAGACCTGCAGGTGAGGCCAGCTGTCCCTCCCCTACTTCATCATCACCTTCTCTCCTGCAGCGCGTCCTCCGCCTCCCTGGCTCCTGCAGCCCTTCCCAACTCCAAGGGAGCCGCTGACAACAGGAGACCCCACACTGAGTCTGAGGCACTGTCAGAGCATTAATTCACTAGATCACCCTAACAACCCTACAAGGCAGGTGCGTCATCATCCTCGTTTTACAGATGAGAAAACGGAGGCACAGAGGTTAAATAATGGGACCAGTCACACAGTCAGGAGTGGTAGAGCTGGGATTTAAACTCAGGCCACATGGTTCCTGAGTCTAAATACTTAACCAAATGCAATTCTGTCTCTCCTACTGAAACGCTACTTTATTCTTCTAACACTCCTAGCTCTTACTAAAGAATGTAAAATAGAACATAAACTGTTGCTATTTAATTATGGTGTACTCTGAACCCAGGGCAGTAAGAAATCACACAATTGCCAGCAATTAAAACGTAGGGGTTGGCCTGCTCCCAGGGCGGCCTCAACTTCAGAAACTTTAGAACCAAGGATCTTCCTTTAAAACAATCAGCATCTTTTTCAAAAGACTTGGTCCCATCTCATTAGAAGTTAGGAGATCTGGATTTGAGTTCTGGTTTATCACTTATTAATTGAGTAATCTATTTATGGAAAAAAATCCATTAACCTCATGGATTTTCAGGTTATTTTTTTTAAGTATGAAAAACAGAGATATTAAGAATATTTACTCTGTCCACATTTTAGGAAGACTGTAGGACAAATGATACATATGTGAAAATACTTTGCAAAGTGATAAAGAAAATACAAAAGTTATTCTATCTTATTATTATTTGAGGTGTAATCAATGCTCAGGACAGAGAAAAACACCTATGCCCACCTCCTTCTAAATCAATTTTAATGCCACAAGCAGACGAGGTACCTGGGATCAGTAAACACCATGAGAAGATGATTCCAAGACCCATGAGAACTTTATGGAAACGCAGCTCTGTTTCTGGGAATGAGCACTGGACAACCCAGGACCAAGTAGTAGCTGATGTATTTCAATGCAGCTTAAGATACATGCAAATGTATGTATGTTTGTATGTATGTTTGGAATCACTGGTGCAAAATAAATACAGTGAGCAGATTCATAAAGAAGCCTCCTCCCTGGATGACCTAAGAGATCCCATAATAAGCTTAGCTATGAAAGTCATGGAAGCTGGACCTGGCCCGAAGCACTCGGCACACATCTGTACTTATAGTACGTAATAAAAAACAGAGAGGTGTTTCAGGAGATCAACCATAAAAGGTACTTCTGCATATCTAAAAAGTGTATATATCTCCCTTCGCTACAAAGCTTTTTTTTTTTTGGTTAATGATCACACGTTAATCACTCAATTCACTTAATAGTTAACTAAAACAGTATCTCGCTTTAGACTAGATACATTCCCGAAGCCATTTTGGGGCAAACATTTTCCTATTTTGTAGTTTTTCTAGTTTCTGAGAGCATCTCAGAATCATTCTTATTTCATATTTTCTAGTTATTCTAATTATGAACCAAAGAAGGCAAAGAGGTAAGTGGGAAGAGGGGAGAAGTATCTCAATCTTCAGCCTGACAACAGCAGGCTCACAACCCACCCTGTACCTGTATCTCAACCAAGTACCAGGAACGAGTCTTATATTTCTGGAAAAAAATCCAAGTAAATGTTCTTGAGACCATATGGTAAATTTACTTCACCATTTTCACCAGTTCAATAAAGACAAATGTCCGTGTGACTAATCCCTTGAATTAACAACACTCTCAACAGTAGTATCAGAGCTGGCGTTTACAGGGTACCTGGTCTGTGTTAGTGCCTCTGCACACACACCCTCACCCGACCCCACAACGGCCCTGAGAGGGAGGCACTACCATCTCCATCCCACAGATGAGGACAGACTTCAGGAGGTCTGGGAGCAGGTACACTAAGTAGCAGAGCTGGATGTGAATCCAGGTTAGCCTGATTCTAAAGCCCTCTCTCTTAATCCCCAACTAATTTTAGTAAGTTATTCTGAATCCTCAAATATTTACCTGAACTTTAAAATTCTTAGTTTCTAGGGTTTCTTGAGAGTCCTCAGAGAGCTACCACATATAGGAACAAAATCTATAAGGAAAAGGCTATGGCTGTACACTATTATAGGTTATTATTGAAAGGAATGGGCTGCCCCAAACTTCATATCTAAGAACAAAGAATAATCCTTAAAATCATCACATAAAGCCCCATAGTTTGGGCATGAAAAGTCTTACATTGGTGTTTCCTAACTGCAGCAGATGAACTGTATAATAGGACTTCACGTCTTCCGACAGGAACTTCACACTGAAGCCTGTTTCCTTAAACAGCATCTCTCGGTCATCCTTTGTTGGCCAGTACTGTGCACATTTAACCTAAATTTAAGAATTTAGGTTAATGCATATGACTTTTTTTAGTTTATAGACATAATGAAACCATAAAAAGCTGGAAAGGAAAACAAACCACACACACGCTATATATTTTTCAAGTACCCAAATCTAAGAACAGTCGCACTACGTTTGATGTTTAATGTATTTTAATAAGATTGACATCTCACAAAAGCAGGTTTGTAAAATGTTCCTCTAACTTATACACTAAAAAAAACCCCATAAACAGATATCATGTTCATAAAATGAAAATCAATTTGTCATTTCTAAAGCAGGGTAACATATATTTTAACATCATACTGGCATTCACACTATTTTTCTATAAATATCAAACTCTTACAAGAATCTTATCTTCAAACAGTATTGAAAAGGCTTTATTTTACAAGTATTTTCCATAGATACCCGTTAATCTGCTACTAAATACTACTACATATCTAGAAATAACATTGCATACCTATTTACTAAAATTAAGTCAGGGAAAGAATTAGAAGATAAGCTCCCTTTACCTAGAGTTGTTACATTTTGGCAGAACTATTGACATGGAATTTGTATTTGTGACAATAAAAACATCTTCCCCAAAGCCAAATTATGAGGCCAGCAGGCTGAGGTAAGATGAGCTAGAGTCATTTCATTAGGAAAAAACACCAGAAAAACATCCTTGTAAAATATGGCCATTTCTCCTTTTCCAAATCGCAAATAGCTACAAATAACAAACAATAAAAATGCTTCCAAAACAAATGAATACTATGAGCTGACACTTCAAAAGGTCAGCTTAAAGACATTTAAAAAATGGCACAAGAAGTGAAAGAGCATAAATTAGAATCTGAACAACTCAGAAATGAGGTGACAGAAAAGAAAAAAAGATTCAGAAATAACAGAACACATTTCATCAACAAAGACTAATTAATTAAACTAGGGAAAAGAGATGTGACTAAACACAACAGATGATGCCTTAAGAGAAAAAGGAGGACATTTTTAAAATAAAAAAGAAATGAAGAGACAAATAGGATTAGAGAAAATGTGACAACCATAAAAAATAAGCAAGAAAATCTAATACATGTATAATAGGAGGACCCAAGAAAAGAACACCAAAGCAAGCAAGGGAACAGAATAAATGTCAACAAGTATAATTCAATAAATTTTTCTTTAAAGAAAGAAAAAATGTCTGAAATCACATACTGAAAGAGCACTCTATGCCCCTGGACAAACTGATCCAGAATGACCAACACAGAAATATTTTGGTTAAATTATTGGTATTTGAAGGAAAAAAATCCTTTGGGTAACCTAGGTAAAAAGAATAAGTGACTAATAAAGGAAATAAGGAAGTCCATTTGACTTTGACAGTAATTTGTAACGCCAAAAGAAAATGGAGTAATACATTTAAGTTGTTCAAAGAAAAGCAAATATGAGCCAAAGATTTTATATTCTGCCAAACTGACTGTTAAGCACTGAGCCAGCAGATGAACTGTCATTGGCACGTAAGACATCAGGGACTATGGTGCCCATGAGTCCTTCCTCAGGATCCTCTGGAGTATAAGCTACAGACAAAATGACTGGAGAGACACCTCAACATATACAGACTTACACAAAAGGGGCATAAGGGACAGAGTATAATGTGCTATAAACTCTGACAATGTACATAAAGTACAACTTTAAAAAAAACAGAGAATGGGAAAAACAAAACATTTTAAACTTTTTTTCAGTAGTTATTTTGGTGATGGAGTTGATTTTGTTATTATAACTATTTTCTGTGTGCAATATCAGACAAAGTAAAAGAGTCACTATAAGATATTTGATATCACTAGTGTCTCTGAGAACCAGAATTCATGGTACGGAAAACACTGTAACAGATAAAGGATAGAAAGGGTTGAGCCAACCCCTAAAGGCCTAAATTTGAATCAGAAATATCAGTATGAACACTAGCGCTGTGTTATCTTAACACAAAAACATATTTTTCCTTAGCTCTGTTCACTGAAAAGACCAACCCAGTGGCAACAAACATCCCTATTTTTGTTGTGACCCTGAAATACCACTGCCCACTGAAAGAAGTTAAGGCCCCTTAAAGAAATGGCTGATTCTTACACAAGAGTTTAAGATGAGCCTGCAATATGGAGTCATTCCAGACAGCAAGTAGCTATGAAGACTCTTGGGTCTGTGTAAAAGAACTCAGGGCCCAACTTGAAGAGCTTCCTGCTGGCCAGTGAAGGGACAATCTTACTACAAATAAGGATAATAACTTCCATGGAGTGAAATGAATCAAGGATGTTTGAATCCGTGACTTCACAGTACCTGATGCCCTCCCGCCCTGCCCCCACACCAAGAAAACCTAAGTGGTCACATATTGAGGACACTAGGGAATCAACTTCTTTTGAAAACTGCTTTTCCTATTTAAAAGTGGCCAAGGGGCTTCCCCGGTGGCACAGTGGCTGGGAGTCTGCCTGCCAACACAGGGGATGAGGGTTCAAGCCCTGGTTCGGAAGGATCCCACATGCCGTGGAGCAACTAGGCCTGTGCGACACAGCTGCTGAGCCTGCGCTCTGGAGCCTGCGAGCTACAACTACTGAGCCCGTGTGCCACAACTGCTGAAGCACGTGCGCCTGGAGCCCGTGCTCCGCAACGGGAGAAGCCACTGCAGTGAGAAGCCTGCACACTGCAAAGAAGCATAGCCCCCGCTCGCTGCAACTAAAGCCTGCGAACAGCAATGAAGACCCAACGCATCCATAAATAAATAAATAAACTAATTAATTAATTAATTAAAAAATAATAATAAATAAAAGTGGCCAAGTAACAAGAGTGGGAGGTTGTGTTTTTTTTTTAATAGAAGTATTCCAACAAGAGCTCCTGGAATATCACTATTTTATATCCCCTAATTAATTAAGGAGCTAAACACCGACCAGCAACAGCTGCCACCATCATTACGCTGACAAACATTATGCCCCCACTCACAAGGTGACCTGCCCCCAGACAATTAAACCCGACTCTAGATCCAACCACCATAAATATGATTTCTGATTTCTGGTGGCAGTCTTATCTTTTTTTTTTTTTGTGGTACGCAGGCCTCTCACTGTTGCGGCCTCTCCCGCTGCGGAGCACAGGCTCCGGACGCGCAGGCTCAGCAGCCATGGCTCATGGGCCTAGCCGCTCCACGGCATGTGGGATCTTCCTGGACCAGGGCACGAACCCGTGTCCCCTGCATCGGCAGGCGGACTCTCAACCACTGCGCCACCCGGGAAGCCCTGTCTTATCTTTTTATTATACTAATTATACTCCAGAATGAGGGATGAAACTTATAATCCTCTAGTTGGCAATGCTGCTCAAAATGTCCCAACTGATAGAGCCCCCATCACTTGAAGCACGAAAACCACTGTAAACGACTACGCTGACATTGCTGGACACTCTGGTATGTTAACGCCACTTCAGATCTGAAACAGACTAGAAAAACCTTCACCACCATTGAAAACTGGCAACTATTAATTTAGAAAAAAGGAAGAGGGATTTCCCTGGTGGTGCAGTGGATAGAAATCCACCTGCCAATGCAGGGGACACGGGTTCGACCCCTGGTCTGGGAAGATCCCACATGCTGCGGAGTAACTAGGCCCATGCGCCACAACTACTGAGCCTGCATTCTAGAGCCCATGTGCCACAACTACTGAGCCCATGTGCCACAACTACTGAGCTTGCAGGGCTAGAGCCCATGCTCCACAACAAGAGAAGCCCCCACTCTTCTAGAGAAAGCTTGTGCGCAGCAATGAAGACTCAATGCAGCCAAAAATAAATAAAATTAAATCTTAAAAAAAAAAAAAAAGGAAGAATCAGGAACCTGAAAAGCAGAGTAGTCTAAGACCTCAGGGCTGAAAGAGACCTGACAGACAATACTTTCCAATTTGCATGTTTGACAGACGAGGACCCTAAAGCCACAGAAGCTGAAAGACTTACCCAGCGTCACACCACTAATTAGCACTGGGTTTAGACTGCACTTCAAATGTCAATAAATTTATACATTTCCATACTTACTGCCTTGTGACCTAAGAGCCAATGGTAATTTATAAAGGTTTTAGAAACCTGTCACTTTAATCTTTTATAAAATTTCCAGGATTTTGATAATAATAAATTGTAAAGATTGTGATAAAGCCTACAGATTCCAAAGATCTAAATACCACTACTAGCCAATACTGGCTCCATTATACTTATATTTTGGAGGGTAGTGGTCCGCAATTGTTATTTAAATATTTAAGGTAAAAAAGGAAAAGGATACATTAGCTCTTCTGGTCAGAATCACCCTGACCACTAGCCTTTAGCAATTAAAGGCCAAAACTAATGAATGAATATCCCAAAAGAAATAAGAAAATATTTATAAGTTAACAATCACAGGCAGTACACTAAGTTGTAAATATCAAGTATTACTCACCGATTCTTTCTCCACAATTCGGTTTAGCATGACAACTGCTTTGGTCTTTTGCTGCCAAACCATGAGCCAGAAATGACAACCTGTATTAGGAAGTGGACCCTGTAAGAACAGAAGGAAAAGTAGGTAAGAGAAAGGGGACAGAGTAAGGCTCCGAGGAAACTCCTTCAGGGAAGCTTCTCGTCTGAGAACAGTGTACCGGATCATAAAGAGTAAATCGAGACTTTAAATCCATTTGAACTAAAAACAGGTCTGTGCTAGTTAGGATTACTGATTATCAACGATCAAAACTGACTTTGATTTACTTAGGCAGAAAAGAAAAATTTTCAGGCTCTCAGGTGACTTTCAGAGTTGAGGGCTGGAGAACCAGGCTTGGGTAGGAACAAACGTCAAGACAAGATTTTGTCCAAAGAGGAGTGGGCTTGGGACAGTACTCCCAACCCGTCACTAACATCACCTGCTTTGCTGGTACTGCCATCCTAAGGTGGCTGTAGTACTCACGCACAACCTGTAAGCAAACCAGGGTCAAAATCGCAGGCACCAAGATCTACGGGTTGTATTCTAGCTGTAAAGGAGGCAGGCAAAGGAGATTTCTGCCCCCTCCAGTCTCTGCCGCAGAAAAAGAGGCCCTGCCTCCCATGATGAGGGCAGCCCTGCAAAGGAGGAAGTCTGTGCCAGCACTGGCCTGCAACCAACCCAAGTTAGCTACAAAGAGAATTCCAGAAAAAGCGGAAATTTCAAAGCACCTGAACCACTATGAAACTGTTAATCTACAAAACTAGAGAATGTGTAACCTCAAGAGCAGAGTTAAAAGGGGTAATGGTGCATATCACAATACTGCCATGGGGAAAAAAATCAAATCATATTATGAATTTCCAATTACCTTCACATTTTGATTAATGGGTAGCACAGGGCAGAATAAAGGGCAAACAAGAGATGAGAAGACCATGCCCAAACTTTAACTATTTTAAGTGAGTAAAGATTAACATGAACGAGGTTTGACTGTACCTCCAGTAACTCGACAAGCATTCACCTCGCAGGACACTGGGAGGCCAGGTCTGGCTAGAGCTTCAGCTCCACATGGAAAACAAGGCAATTCAAGTGGTGCTACACTGAAAGCAGCTTTAGGGCAGTTGTATCCCTGGTGTGTAGTGGGTGTTGGGTAAATATTATTTGAACTAATAAACTCTAAGCTCTAAGTTATACAAATGCTAGAAAGGGATTGGGAATCCTGAGGAGCTGCACCCTCGGGTTTGAGGGACTGTTCCCCTCCTTTGGTGCATGTTATCCAATGCTTGAGTTACCTCCAAAACCAAACAGTGTGAAGGTAAAAACAGCAATGAGAAGATCCCCAGTAAAATGAATGCCGTTTCTTTTGTCTAAAAAAATGGACAGATCAGTTCACCAATGAAGTCGCTCCTTAGTGTGTTCACGCACATGTGCGTGTGCGTGCACACAGACACACACACACACATGCACATTCTGTTAGTGGTTCTGAAATGGGAGAGGGTTTCTCAGCCCTTCCACTTACCAGCAATACTACTTATTTTTCTTGTGCACAATGGAGATCTATACCAAGGGACTGATATATACATTTTTAGTTTTCATAAAACTCAGAGGGAAAAGATGACAAAAATAATAAGCAACAAAGGACAATGAGAACAACTGCAGTTTTAATAAACACTTAGCATCTCTGGTTTTCTCTATCCTCTGAAATATTTTCTGTGCATGTTCTCTGTTCCAACGTACTAGATACAAAGGCAAAAGCAGTCTCAGATGTCAAAGAGCTTACGACAGAGGCAAGGAACTGAAACACATCAAGCACCACAAGAGTAAGGGGTAAACCATCAGGTCTGCAGGAGTAGGAAGGATACTGGCACAGAGCCTTAAAAATGAGGAGGACACTGACATGGGGGAAGGAAGGGTAGGGAATCAGGATCCATTCCCAGCATAAGGCAAGGCATGTGCAAGTTTAGGAGACATCTGGGAAAAGACAGCTAGATTGCTGAGGGCAACATAGAGGTACGTGGTAGGAAACTGTACCTGCAGAGTGGGCGGGTCTCGAATCCAAGAAATAGTCACCGAACTCTTCTTTAAGGAGTAAAGGGATATGACCAGATTCGTATGTCACAAAAAATAATTGTGGTGGAATTGTTAAAGATGGATTAGGGAGGACGGACTGGTGACAAGGAAATAAGTTAAGAAGCTACCACTTTGGTGCAGATAAAATTCAAGAGAGCTCTGAAGAAGGGCAGGGCAGCAGAACAAAGGAAAGTATTAGACACATGAGGAGGATAGCTTTAACCCATATGAGAAAAATAGGAAGGGGGCTGGCATGGTTTTAAAAAAAAGAAGAAAAAGAAAGAGTTCGACACAGAAAATGCAGAATTTGTGACATCAATTGGTCACGTGGGTAAAAACACCCATATGGACGTTGAAAAATATAAGGCAGGGGGTGGAGGCAGGGGTGGGACTCAGGAAATAAGAAAAAGCTGAAGATGGGCTTTTGAGTCCCATTTAGAATGAGGGGGGAGGGACTCTGTCAGGACACAAAGAAGCTCTCCAACATGGACAGGAGGTTTAAATGAGATCACTAGGGTATGAGTCAGGCATTTTCTTTTACGTGATGAGATTTATAATGTTTTATAAAAGGGTTATTACTATCATTACTACTACCAATAAAAAGCAGTAACAAATGCCACAATAAATACTCCATGGAGTACTCACCATAGTACCAGGCACTATATGAGTTTTTATCAGCATTGTTCTACAGATAATAGAGATATATATCAATAATATAGGTACACACTTGACTCTTGAACAACATGGGTTTGAACTGCGGGGATCCACATATAGGCAGATTTTTTTCAATAAATATACAGTTGGCCTTCTTATCCATGGGTTCCGCATCTGCAGAATCAACCAAACTCAGATAGCAAACTTAATACATGATCCATGATTGGTGGAATCTGTATATGTGGAATCCCAAGGACAGAGAAGGACAACTATGGACTTGAGCACCCATGGGTTCTGGCATCTGCAGAGGATCCTGGAAGCAAACCCCCCACAGATACCAAGGGACGACAGTACAGGCTTGGGGAATAAGTAATGTGTCCAAGGTCACACAGTAGTTTCAAGGCAGCAGATCTGAATAATTAAGAGCAGAACCATGCAGTCTATGGAGACCGTGTGGCTTCACATCCTGGCCTCATCCCACTTGTTGCATGGCCTTGGTAAAGTTATTTGAAGTTCCTTTGTCTTTTTAGGTGATTCCTCGTGTTAACATAAGGATAACAATAGTATTTACCACAGAGGGTTATCCTGAGGCTTAAATTATACAAAACATAAAATATAGAACAGTGTTAAAAACTGCTAGCTGTTACTATTTACAACAGCCAAGACATGGAAGACATCTAAGTGTCCATCTACAGATGAACGGATAAAGAAGATGTGGTACACATATACAATGGAATACTCTCAGCCATAAAAAATAATGAAATAATTCCATTTGCAGCAACATGGATGGACCTAGAGATTATCATTCTAAGTGATTCAGACAAATACTATATGATATCACTTACATGTGGAACATAAAATATGATACAAAAGAAATTATTAAAACAGAAACAGACTCACAGACAGAAAACATACTTACAGTTACCAAAGGGGAAAGGGTAGAAGGGATAAATTAGGAGTTTGGGATTCACAAATACTCACTACCATCTATAAAATAACAGGATTTACTGTGTAGGTCAGGGAACTATATTCAGTAACTTGTAATAACCTATAACAGCAAAGAATCTGAAAAAGAACAGATATAGATGTATGTGTGTGTATATAACTGAATCACTTTTTGTACACCTGAAACTAACACAGTATGGTAAATCAACTATAGTTCAATAAAATAATAAATAAAAGATTGCTAGCTCAGGGACTTCCCTGGTGGCACAGTAATTAAGAATCCGCCTGCCAATGCAGGGAACGCGGGTTTGAGCCCTGGTCTGGGAAGATCCCACATGCCGTGAAGCAACTAAGCTTGTGCGCCACAACTACTGAGCCTGCGCTCTAGAGCCCGTGAGCCACACTACTGAGCCCATGTGCCAAAACTACTGAAGCCTGCGTGCCTAGAGCCCATGCTCAGCAACAAGAGAAACCACCACAATGAGAAGCCTATGCACTGCAACAAAGAGTAGCCCCCACTCCCTGCAACTAGAGAAAGCCCACGTGCAGCAACAAAGACCCAACACAGCCAAAAATAAATATATATAAATTAATTAGTTAAAAAAGATTGCTAGCTGCTAGCTGTTAATTTTACTTCCCACTAGGATGTGAAGTTCATAACGGCACTTTTTTTTTTTTTTTTGCGGTATGCAGGCCTCTCACTCTTGTGGCCTCTCCCATTGCGGAGCACAGGCTCCAGACGTGCAGGCTCAGCGGCCATGGCTCATGGGCCCAGCAGCTCCGCAGCATGTGGGATCTTCCTGGACCAGGGCACGAACCCACATCCCCTGCATCGGCAGGCGGACTCTCAACCACTGTGCCACCA